ATGGCCTATATTGCCACTTCATGGTAAATCATGGAGCTCGTAAAGAAATTTTCGGATGAGGAATGTGTTATAAGGAACATTTTTATGACTAATTAGGTGACAGATTTGGCCGTGACAAGCTAAAAATTTAATTGAAGTAATTAATTTTTTAATATTTAGGTGCAATGATGAAGTATATTTCGCCCACAAAGTGATCTCTAGCATGTAGCTTTCCATTACGTCAGAGACCAGGATTATTTTTTCACAAGGTGCTCCATTAGGACTGCCACTTTAGACAACCCGATTTGCGCTTTAGCACGAGACACGTCTTCAAGATGTAGCTTCTCGACATCTAATCTGTGCAATAATGCGTCAGCCAAGGCGTTCGATTTCTTCGACTAGTTTTTAACTCAAGCTTAAAATTCCGGAAAGAATGTGGCCCACCTTACCACCAGGTGATAAGTGCGGTGAGTTTATCGTAGGTGTTTCGTGATCCGCGTAAACTACAAAACGTTCGGTGACCATTGGAATCACATGTAGCTAAACAAGGGCTTTATAAAGATAGATTTTTTTCGTGTAAGGAATAGATTTAGCTCTGCTGATTTGAAGAAGGTACGGATAAGAGATGACACGGTCAATGCCAGCGTCATCTTTTGCATAAGTGCATTGATTATCCAAATTACTCGCGTCACACAGCAATAAAAGGAATGTCCACATTTGACAAAGCAAATACCAGAATCTCTGCAAGTGATTACCTTAATGAAGTGGAAACATCTACAAGAGCCTCTGTAGAATACAATCTGCATCCATTTTAAGGAGGTCGGACAAAAATTTGGTTCGCTTTAAATACTTACTTGATGCGACTTTGCAAGAAACCAGCGAGCCCAAAAATTTGACGTAGATCCTTAACGTGTCGTGGGACTACCTATCTATGTAGCCTTAGCGTTTTCTGAGTTTGTTGTGATCCGATATTCTCGCACAATTCTGAACAGACAAGGATTTCCAGGACCCCTAGGACGCACTATTGCAAGTTGACGTACAGTAAAGCGTCGACGAAAGTCTGCAACAATTTTTTTTACTTAATTGCTTTTCGTTCTCGACTTCACCCTTAGCAAATACATCGTAAATGTAATAATGTACGAGGTCACGGTGTGGATGCATCAGAGGAGCGAGCGAGCGGTCTAAACTCGCAAAGGGTTTTTCAGCCTTGTGGCATCACTAGTCACTTCCACAGCATACCACTTGAAGTACAAAGTCCCGTCTAGGCTACTTTTATATAATTCAAGAGTGCGTGGTGGTAAAGTCCTTAAAATATGTGGGGAAAAGATAGTTGACTTCTCCATTGAGTTTCATGTGAACACCTGTTGCGGGATCGGTGTTTATGCTGTAATGGTGATCGCATTTCTTCAGTTATGATTATCAGCTACTTGTTAATCACCTGATACTTCGATAACGAAACAGGTCGGGTTAAAGCGATTCGACTTTCTATTACGCACATGTACCGTACACGCTCGCTTGTCGAATAATTCGTCGATTATTTCAACCTATGATTTAGTCACGGCTACTGCCTGGTCACAAACACTACATGGTGTCAGGTTCCAAGTCAATCACGTGCTTATTACCCAATTTCTGGTAGGTGGTTAGGCACTTTTTTGGGAAAGATTTTACGGTGGTTCCACATGTATCATAAATAGCTGCTTCTATAGGTATCTCGTCATTCAGCAGCCAATCGTTTTGTCTTTTTAAGCTCCAAGATAAACTTGTTTATCGGAAAAAAATATCCCATTAATTCATTCTTTGAGACTGTAGCAACTATATCGTGGATCTTTCCGATCATAATTTTACACATTAAATCATCATACGTCATCTATAATAGATCATAAATTTATTTCAATAATTACAAGACCTGCTGGAGGACCTTTATCAAGGATGCTTTCGGAATCTATTTTTAACGGTCTCCAGCACGTAGCTTGAAAGGTCTCCTCTTAAAATAAAACTGATCCAAAGTGTACTAGTTTCGACCTAAATTTAATCGTTTTAACAATTAGACTGGTGTGAGACACACGTCGTACCACGACGACCTTTGAATTTTCTTTGAGTATCTTTTCTGTTGTAGTAAATGTACCCTTATAATCTTACCAGGCCCTCATAATGTATCGGTTCCTAATACACTTGTGCGGTGGAGTGATATTCTCTCATTTTGCAAAGCGTTCCCAAATCTCTCTTATACCCCTGAAGACCGACTAATTGAAAGTGTATTTCAACTCGTCTGTATTGTCTTGTTCCTTTCACCTGGTGTAACCGTTGGCAGGCGGTTGCACTCTTCTAGGTGGCTTGAGGTGTATTACTGCCTTGGCCGTGTTAAGGATAGGTGGGTAGTGGTCCCGTGGCAATTCATTACACGACCAACCGTTACTTGCAGCGCTCTCCCAGAGTTGCCCCGACCTTCCTTTAGATCGCCTTTCACAAATGAGGATACCTGATCCCCTGATTCTTCAGACAACTTGATCACCTTATTCTTTTGATCACTTGAGACTTCTGAAGACATTGCATCGATTTGCTTGCCACGTCCGATCGCTGGCTAACTTTAATGAGTATCCTTGTCCCTAGCCAAGCAACACTAGGGACAAAAATTGGATAAACACGTGAGCAGTAAACCTTAAACGTCGAGCATCCACTATCGTTTCAGCCCGGAGGAATGCTGACGCGTGTCTTTTATAGGTAAATCAATACTGCTTGTAATTAACCTATCAGAAGCTATAACTACGCTTATTTCTATCTGTACCTCAGTTTCTAGTACGCCGTTCGCCTCACGCCATTCATTCCCTGTGCTTAAAGTGACCCACCTCAAAATCAACACGACAGCTGGTCTTCCGCAGTGAATGCGACCATTATTCGTCCACAGTGACCGTGAACGCTGGTCATTAAAGTGGCCGTGACATTTGGTCGCCGTCTAGTACAGCGACTAAAGCCTGGTCCACTTTCGACCGTACCTTTAACGATATCTGTCGGATGGTGCTAAGGGCGGAGTGACCGGTCCCACTTGTACCAATGATGTGAAAAGATGCGATAAATCAGAACTTCTCTTGGCCACATCACCACAATCTTTTATGCTCCAATAATCGGCAACCGATGAAAATTTGGTAATATATGTTTTGCTCACTTTGTTCAGCTTTCGCGTCGTCAATCTTCAGCTTAGCTTGAAGAGATGTCCCTTAAACCGCCCCGCCGCAGGTTTACCTCTAGCTTCAGGTTCAGCATTCCTTGAGCCGAATCTGGTACATTTTTGCCATAGACGATCGTTATAATAGAACACGTACTATTCCGGTACTTGACACGACCGGATACGCTGGTGTTCTCGATTTCCGTGGCTCGCCCAGAGTTTCCATACTCTCTGATGACCAAGGACACACCTTAGCCGACCCGAGGAGCGCTGTGACTGACCTTCCCGTCAATTGAGTGGTCGAGGCGACTGTACAGGTTGATTTCGCAATGTGCCTTGGCTCACATTGCAGTGGCGTGATGTCCAGCGAGCAAGAGCCTCACCCTGCTGAAGACGAAGCTGTTCCGGCTAACCACCCTGTCAATCTATTTGGCGTCACTACCGTGTCGATTGATGTTCCTGCAATCTCTCACTCACCTCTTAATGTCGTGGTGGATGGTGCTCGAACATGCAACAAAGTCGGAAGTGCAGCCGTTTCTGCTGATTATATGTCGGCTCTGCAACGGTGTCTGCTGACTTCCAGGCTGACCTTAACGCTCCTCGTGTAATTTTAATAACTGGTGATTAAGCACCCGACTCCGCTCTGACCGATGCCGTTGATGATTATCGTCCCGTCGAGCCAGTCGACCTCCTGGATGAGTCCGCCGCTATTCTCACTGACCTTGGTAGGCCCTAAGTTGGCGATCCGACTGTCGAGCAAAAATACATGCCTGCCGTGCCCAAAGATGGACCTATATATTCTGTCGATACTTTACGTGCTTCAATCGCCGATAAGCCGGAAACTTTTTCTAGTCGACCCACCGACCCGATTCCCGTTGTCAATGCTGATAAAGGTGTTGACGCTGATGCCATCGTACTTAACAATCCGGATCCTTTCCCCACAACCAAACGTGGTCGTCTAATGAACAACCACACACATTCGGTCTTTCTTTCCGACTCGCAGGTAGGATTCCCTGTCCTACGACGATAATTCTATGAGAATCTTATCAGTTTCTTGTAACGGCGTGTCTCGTTTTAAGCGAACTAGGTCACCTTGTACAGAGACTTGGAACTCTGCAGATCCAGAAGCAACGTGGAAACGAGCTTGAGCAGAAGAATCAAATTTAAAAAACGATACTATCCTCGTTCGTGTAGTTTGTTCGACCAAAGTATGAACGTTTACGTGAGACATGGCGTGACTGCCATACAGAAGCCGACCGACAGGCCTACGAGTGCTGCAGCGAGCGATGGACGAAGTTTGTAACGGCCACCCTGAAGCTTGTACTGATGACAGTACAAGCTACTTATTCTGAAGACAGAAAAAGGCGGTGCCTCGGAACTTCACGTACACTCGTACGTGCAGAGGAAGACGGTAAGAAGAAGCGAGTACTTCGTTTAAGTTAAAAGTAGAACTGTATTTATAATAGTTAATGTCTGCAACAAATCACTATTTATCTTCATCTAACTATGTCTGAATACAAGTGTGTATATCAACTATCTGCTCACCACTCATTGCGTGCGTCTGTCGTGGCGCGTCTTCGTTGGTTGATATAATGGCCTATATCAACCAATTAGGAACTACTCGTAAGTGCTACAGAACATTTGTCCTTATGACAATATTCTGAGAATATAACTCTTATGTTTATATTCTATTAACAATTTCTTATAAATTGTTATGTAACGATTCACCCCGTTACATCACCCCCCCTTAACCATCGGTCACTTTAGTGACTGATTGACTAAATGGATACTCGTCCCAAATCATTTGGGACGGGGTTTCCACTTGTTGGTCCGAGTCCACTTTCCAACAATCCATCGCATGGTTAACAAGCCCGTGCGATGCGCGAGAAAGGCCGCCGAGAGCGCGTCCGCACGTCTCTGTGCGGACGCCGAAGCAGAAACCGCAGCAACTGATTTGTCATTGGTTGCTAAAGCGTCTCAGCCTGTGTCACCTGGTGATGCAGGCGCTCGTCATGAAGACACTCATGTCTTCACAGAGTATGAGCTCGGTGTCTCATACTCTCCTGATACGGAAGACGGATCCGTATCGACGGCGATCGAATCCAAGCCGCCTACCAAGCGTGGCATGGATGATGCTATGCGTCGTAGCATCTTTGGTTCATCTGATTCATCAGATGAACCATCGCCGAAGCGAAGGCGCCCGAAGTCGCAAGACTCGGGCGCTCACAGTGGTGTCGGTTCTCCTATTGACACCACTTCGCAACAAGGTGCCAGTACTTCTGTCGGTACGTCGCAAGAAGAGTGGGACCGCAGTGTGTTGCGTCTCGCTCCCGAGAAGAAGGCATGGATGCCTCCCAAATCAGTCATGGATCACTTGTCGGCGACGACAAATGATCGTTATCGAACACGAGTGATCGTTATCGAACACGATTGTTCGATTCGTCAAGGATCCATCACCTTGACCCCAGCGCGAAAAACTATCGCGCTGAGAATGAGTTTTTGATCGATGCTTTCTTTAAACATCGATGGTACAGTGGGAATCACAAGCGTGATGGTCCCTCACTGCTTCAGGCGTGGAACGCCTACATCCATAACCTTGAGGATGTAGGTCGTGACTTTTGGAACGACAAACTTATCAAAGCTCGTGATCAGTTTGAAAAGCGAACCCCGACAGGTGCACGCTACAAGCTGCATTGTCTGTCAAGGGAGAAAGGGTACCCTGCCTCTCCTGGGGAGACTCGTGCTCATATTGTGTGAACAACTCTGCGCGCGCACCTAAGGAGGCTTACCTCCTAACTAGCCCGTGGTGGCGCATACGTATCTCTACTGAGATGTACGAAGGGATTGACAACCTGAAATCCCTTTACGACCGTGCCAGGAAGACTTTCTCCGGCGGTCCTTCTGCGGCACAGGATGTGCCGCGTCGTACTGCTCTACCAAACCCAGTACGTCAACCATAAGTTGGGAGCGGGGCTCCCAAGTATCCCAGGATGGGGGATAGCCGCGCCACCGGACGAGATAACTCGTCCGACGTCCGTTCACGTCGCGGTGGTTCAACAGCTGCTCAACTAGATAGCGCTGGCCACCGCGAGAGTACTCTAATGGAGGTGGAGGAGGAGGGAAAACGCTCTCCACACTATCGTGGGGAAGCGTGTGTTCCCGAGAGCTTCTTTGATCGCGTAACGCAAGGGTTACGCGGCGATCTCGAACATGAGCGGGACAGGCGTCTCCAAATGGCGGACATTGCGTTGAAGCATCGAGCTGAGTTTGCCTTTGCTCAGCTTGAGAACGAGAGATCTCTGACGTCTCTGCGTGACGAGCTAAGGGTAGCTCGTGGGGATGTTGAGCGGTCTCGGGCTGAGATAACTGCTCTTCAGACCCTTGTCGATGCCCACCATCGGGAGCACAAGGCTCTCTGCGAGATGCTTGAGCGCAAGGGCGTTCTTCATCGGAAGAAGCAGCGTACTGATGGTACGGCTTAAGCCGACCAACGTAAAACGTGGGATGCGTTCGCATCTTACGTGGTAACTCGATCGTGTATGCATTGCCTAGGCGGTGCAATACACGAAATGGGCCGATGTACTTGGGTAGTAGTTTACTGCTACCCAAGTTAGTCACTACATGCTTTGGTAGATTAACCGTAGACAGTAGGACTAAGTCACCTTTATTAAATAAAAGAGTGTTTGCCCTTCCATTCTTGTCAGCGTTTTGCTTTTGCTTGTCCACCGCTTCGGCGATGGAGTCTTGCACAAAACGGACTACCGTTTCACGAGCCAGTATGAACTCATCTGATGACTCGTTAGCTTCAGTGCGCTGTGAGTGCACTGCAGCAACATGAATCCTTTCTTCAGTGAGGGCTTCCGCACTCACACTGGCATCATCTTCTTCGATATCGATGTTATCGATATCGGCATCAAACGCAATGACCTCTTCGTCAGAGCGTGATGAGCGTGAACCAAATTGTCTTTTGCTCGCGCGAGTCCCTCCCCCCCTTAAACCAGAGTCACACTCTAGAAAGGTGGGTACACGCGGATGGCGCAAGCCATTCACGTAAAACGGTGTATGTGTCGTGGACGCATGCACCGAGTTGTTGATGGCAAACTCTACCATGGGCAAAAACTCACTCCAACTCTTAAAGGAGTGTACGTATCCTCGAAGTATCTCTTCAAGGACACGGTTGGCACGTTCAGTCTGACCATCTGACTCTGGATGATCAGATGTCGACATCTTCAAGCGCGTTCCGAGTGATTTGAACACGGAACGCCAGAAATCAGCAGTGAAGCGTGGATCTCTGTCTGATACGAGTTCACGGGGCAACCCATGAAGTCGGAAGATGGTGTCAATAAAGACACAAGCACAGCCACTTGCCGTGATTGTCTCTGGTACAGCCACGAGGTGTACCATTTTGCTGAATCTGTCAACAAATACGAGAATACCCGTATTCCCGCGTGCGTCTTTGGGTAACCCGAAGACGAAATACATTGAGATGGATTCCCAACACTCAGCCGGAACCGGTAGAGGCTGTGAAGGTGCACGCAGTGAAGGACTTGACTTCACTCGTTGACAGACTTCGCATGCGCGAACGTACTTGCGCACAAACTGATACTGGCGGGGCCAGTAAAAGTCTTGACTCACCGTGAGATATGTTTTCTCCCGGTCCCGATGTCCTCCTATAGGAGCATCGTGATATTCGAACATGATCCGCAAACGCAGATCAGTATCATCTGGAATGACAACGCGTGGTGTGTCACCTGTAACCTGTTTAATACAGTAAACCGTTGAGTAGTGTATCCTGAACTGCTGTTTAGATACAGTATACCGTTGCGATAGCCGTATCAACGATCTGATGCAGATCGATACGCATACGATAGTCAACAACTTCAAGATTCTCGGGAGAGATGTTAAAATCACAATATCACCATCTTGGGAATACGCCCGCCTCACATCATCATGTAACGTTGAAGATGGTACTGAGGACGTCATAACCGCAACAGTGACTGTCTCACTGTTGGGTTTCGCGACTGGTTCAAAGTCGGGACGACGTGAGAGTGCATCAGCGACGACATTAAGTCGTCCTGGTTTGTACTCTACCGTAAAGTTGTGTTCCGCAAAGAATGACAACCACCGCGCCATTCGTTGTGAAAGGTGCGGGCTGTTCACTGCCGTGCGTAACGACGCATGGTCAGTGTAAACAATGAAGGGTCTATCTCCTAATAGATAGACTCTGAACTTCGCGAGTGCATACTTCATCGCAAAGAGTTCCTTGTCATGCACTGGATAGTTCCGCTCAGCTGGTTGCAGCTGACGCGACTGATAGCAGACGACGCGTTCAACGCCTTCAAGATCGTACTGCATTAATGCACAGCCGATTGCGAAATCGCTGGCATCACAGACCACATGAAATGGCCTGTCCTGATCGGCAATTGCTAGGACTGGGGATTGTATCAAGATCTGCTTGATGCCATCAAAGGAGCGCTGACATTCAGCGTTCCATAACCACCTCTCGTTCTTTTTCAACAAACGAGAGAGGTGCACATTCATCTCGGCGTAATTGCGTGAATACTTATGCAAATACGCCGCTAGCCCAAGGAATTTTCGAAGACCTTTGACATCAACCGGCACAGGCCAGTCGGTGATCGCCTTGATCTTTTCGGGATCAGGACGTACACCGTTCTTACCAACGATGCACCCAAGAAGTGGTATTTCGCTTGCTGCAAATATACACTTCTTGAGGTTTGCATACAATTGATGCTTTCGCATGATTGTAAGAACCTGTCGGACGTGGTACCTGTGAACCTCAACGTCCGACTTTCCATCCATAGCTCGACTATGGATGAATACGTCATCGAAATAACTCGGCGCGAATTCTCGTACTGGTCTCAACGGGTGTGATACACATCTGTTGAACGTGGCAGGGGCATTACTAAGCCCTTGTGGCATTACTAGCCATTCCCAGAGCATGCCGCTAGGCGTGCTAACTGCGGTATAGAGTATATCCCGTTCTCGCAAAAGGATTTGATAGAAGCCATCCATCAAATTCATGGACGAAAAGATGGTACTCTTTGAAATACCATCAATGATGACATCCTTCCTTGGTATCGGCGTCTGAGCCGGTACCGTTGTAGCATTCAACTTGTTAAATGCATGCACTATCCGCCACCCTCCTGTTGCTTTTTGCACACAGAAGGTCGGAGAGCTATGTGGGGAAGTTGATTCCCTCACATGGCCCGCAGCTAAACGATCGGCAAAGAATTTGTCGATCGCAAGTACTTGTTCACGAGGTAGTGGCCACTGCTTCATGATACAGTACTTCGAGCCTGGTTTAAGCTCGACCTCGTGTCGAATACTTTTATCCTTCGGTAATTCGCACGGAACAGTTTCAGGGAATACATCCTTGTATTCAACCAAATCTTCATAGAGAGGATTTGTCTTAAGCAATTCCCACGATTAGGAGTCATATCGCTCAACTCGTGTCTTTTTATCGAGGACGCTCTCGTCCATAGATGAACTACTGAGAACTTTCTCGTTCTCAGTGAACACTGTTGCTGACCTCATGTCGGCTACACAATCGTCTTCAGCGACGAGTGCGCAGATCTGCTTGACTTTGCCACTACGCATATCACGCAAGAACATTTTGTGTTCGAGCGTTGGCAACTGAGTGATCTCCGAAGTCAACTTCGGAGGCGCAATCAGATCAAGTGTATAAGCGCCTACGCTTGATCCGTTATTGACTATGACATTCAATGTCTCTGTCATTTCCTGGGGACTTATTCCCTCAGGCCTCGAAGGACTTATTCCTTCGGCTTCCCGAGGACTTATTCCCTCGGGCTTCGGGGAACTTATTTCCGCCGTATTTGTAATATCGGGACTTATTCCCTTAACTTCCTCTAGCTGGGGTTGCGCAACCACAGCGAGATCCTCTACGAAAGACTCTCCAGTCGATCTAGGATTATCGTTTCGCTTAACCTGAGCGATCGATCGTTTCTCTTCTAGATGTTCCCCGCTAGGGATACATCTTTGTCCCAGTCCACTCGACTTATTCGAGTGGTGGACCTTCGGCACAGCCTGTATTTCCTCACAGCCGCCGGAACTTTGCTCCGAAGTGTAACCGTTTGTTACACTAAGGTTTTGTGCAGTCGTACTAACGACCGTACCACAAGTGAGGCCATCGCACTCACTCGTAGTACATCCACACGCTTGTGGACGCTCCAAAACGTTTATCAGATGGCCATCTGATGAACAAGCGGCAGGCATCGTTACTGTTCGATGTTGCCAGTTTACCCGTGGTTCGTACCTTCTGAGCCACGACGGTATTCCAAGGATGACATCAAATTTGTCATCCAAATTTAATACGATAAAGTCATCATCATATTGGGTATCTTCTAGCGTTTAGTGGATCTTCACTATACGCTTCATGACGGTTACGGATGCGCCTGTCGCAAGACAATTACGGATGCGCCTGTCGCAAGACGTACCGTCATCCTCGTAGGAGGTGTGTCACATTCACTGAACTTGAAGTGACCATCTTCTAGCGATTGGTGTCGCACAAAATTGTTGGACGCCCCACAATCGACTAGAGCTCGAAGGTACAACTTATTCGTCACTTCGAGTTTCAAGGTAATGAGTGAGACCTCATTACCTAGAGCAGCAACGCACAACGTTTGTGTGTTGGGAGCAACCTTCATCAAGAGGCCTGCAAATTCTCTTGACGTTGCTGGACCAGTAGGGTGCTCCGCACCTACTGATCCTGTCCGTTTTTTGACGGTCCATCCCGTTGTTGCGTCTTCGCACCAACAGCGGACCCTAGTCCCTGCCCCTTTCTCATGGGTGGACGGTCTTTACGCCCTGCGTCGCGAGACACTGGACGAGGGGCACTACACTCGTAAGCGTAGTGTCCTGTCTTTTGACATCTGTTGCATCTCTGCAACTTCTTGTAGCCTGTAGAGCGAGCCTTCTCGCTCTCTACATAACAGAGTTCCATCGGCTCTGGACCTCCGTTGTCATATCGTCTCGGTTGACGATATGATGTCGAGCTGGCGCGAGCCTGTCTCAGACTGAATTCTCCCTGTTCCGCAATGGAAATGCTTGTTCTAGTGAATCCAGTTCAAGTCGGAACACGTGAGTTTTGACGGGAGCATCCGCAAGACCCTGCATGAACACCGAAACCAACGTGTGTTCATCCACCGGATTGGAACTTATACAACTCGTAAGATGTCGTATATGTTGCGCGTAAGCGTGCAGATCACGCTTACCCTGCTTGAGCTTCAAGAGTTCGGTTCGAGCTCTGGACTCAGCTCTAGGCGGTTCAAACGTTTGTCTGAGCCGCGACTTGAAGACTTCCAACGACCCAAACGCATATAGGTCGTGCAACTTGAGCCCCAGTGCCCAAGTCTTGGCACGTCCTGCCAGATTTGACTGGGCGAATGCAGCTTGCATATCCCCGTCGTCGATGCGACGCGCCCTTATGGCGTCATCCAATTCGACGAACCATCTCAAGAGGGAGTCCTCTTCGACTCCCCTATACTTGGAGATGTCAATCTTCAAGGTCTCGGGTCGACGCGAGTGCATCGACCCACCAGCAGCAGCCTGCTGCTGTCTCAACAGTTCAAACTGTTGAGCACCCTGTTCTCTCAACAACTCTGATTGTTGAGAACCTTGTTGGTGAAGCAAGGCTACTTTCTCGCGTTCAGCGTCAAGTTCATTTTGAATGAACTTGGCGATAGTAGCATGTTGGGCATCTCTATTGAGAGCCTCTAGCATGACGCTAACAGCATGGATGCCCATGGTTGAACCCATCCGTTCAACCGCATCCCATTCGACATCGCTCAAATGGGAGTAGCCGTCACGCGTAGCGTGAAAGCTTTGGTCATCTTCATCATCCAACATATTCATGTTAGATGTGAACGTGGTCCTTGGACGGACTACGAAGTGCTACCAGGTCTAACGGGGCACCCTGAAGCTTGTACTGGTGACAGTACAAGCTACTTATTCTGATGAAAGAATAAGGCGGTGCCTCGTAACTTCACGTACACTCGTACGTGCAGAGGAAGACGGTAAGGAGAAGCGAGTACTTGGTTAAAGTAAAAAGTAGAACTGACTTTATAATAGTTCATGTCTGTTAATAAACCACTATTTATCTTCATCTAACTATGTCTGAATACAAATGTGCATATCAACTATCTGCTCACCACTCATTGGGTGCGTCTGTCGTGGCGCGTCTTCTTTGGTTGATATAATGGCCTATATTAACCAATTAGGAACTACTCGTAAGTGCTACAGAATATTTGTCCTTATGACAATATTCTGAGAATATAACTCTTATAGTTATATTCTATCAACAATTTCTTATAAATTGTTATGTAACGATTCACCCCGTTACACCTAAGGTTCCGTCCACTGTCGCAAAGCCTGAAAATCATGCTACATAACGTGAGTCAGCTTTAAATTTCTCCAAGACTTAGCCGGTCATCTTCGCGTCCTCGCATCGATGCTAGCAAAATTACAACCCCCATTAATCGAAAATCGCCTAAGTAAAAGATCGTCAACACGCCTCCGTCGGTGATGACCAGGCGGTCGCAGATAAAAAAGCGAGTAAGTCATCCACCTGCTTCTACAACATTAAATAACATTGGTGGCATTGGGTCTGTCGAAGAGATATTGCTTGCCGTGTCCCCTGATCATTATCTCCCGTTCAACGGCGGATGTCTGCTATTACCGTGCAATCTACCGAAGGATTGGCATGCATATCTATCGAGGTCAATTTTGCAAGTCCCACGCCCGCGAGTCGGCCAAAATATTCGGTACCTAATTTTTTTTTACTTTGTCGGCCACTTTCGCCTAAATACCGAACACTGGACCATTTCATACAGACGAGACACCCGAGGCGTCTGACGACTATGATGGATCTATAGGTATGTTAAACGGGGGCTTTCACAGTGAATTAGCTCCTCTCTCCGACTGCTCGCAAGGACATGCCTCGGGATGCATGCACGCGATAATTAAATTCCCGGGTAATCAGTTTATGCGGGAAATGGCACCAGCCACTTTTCGCCGTTGTCGTCTCGCTGCTTGGAAATTGTAGCTTTGGATGAGCTGAATTTTAACCTCTTATTCCATCACTTATATCGGCCTAAATGCTACCCGTTTCCCGTTCCGGGACCCCGCGCTTGTCCGCCTGTCGAGTTCCAATGGTATACAGAATTGGTAGACTTCGCGGAAATTGCTACATTGTACAGTCAAAAAGCGTGAGAAGTCCTGGTTAGGTCAATTGCCCCTTTTTTTAGCCCATCTGGCTTGTCTCAAGCCTTCGTGGCCGCCTAGAACGAGTTTGGATGCCATCAACTCCAGGAGCCGTGGGAGCTGTGTTCACATATTCGCTACCGAGCATTGTTGGTTACGCCACGCGGAGGATCCATGCTTGAGCGCCGATTAGTAGAGAGATGAATTTGGAGTTCCTGGTTGTAACGAAGTGAATCGTTACATGACAATTATTAGGAAATTGTTAATAGAATATAAACATAAGAGTTATATTCTCAGAATATTGTCATAAGGACAAATATTCTGTAGCACTTACGAGTAGTTCCTAATTGGTTGATATAGGCCATTATATCAACCAACGAAGACGCGCCACGACAGACGCACGCAATGAGTGGTGAGCAGATAGTTGATTTACACATTTGTATTTAGACATAGTTAGATGAAGATAAATAGTGATTTATTAACAGACATGAACTATTATAAAGACAGTTCTACTTTTAACTCTAACCAAGTACTCGCTTCTTCTTACCGTCTTCCTCTGCACGCACGAGTGTACGTAGTTACGAGGCACCGCCTTATTCTGTCTTCAGAATAAGTAGCTTGTACTGTCACCAGTACAAGCTTCAGGGTGCCCCGTTACACCTGGTAGCACTTCGTAGTCCGTCCAAGAACCAAGTTCACATCTAACATGAATATGTTGAATGATGAAGATGACCAAAGCTTTCACGCTACGCGTGACGGCTACTCCCATTTGAGCGATGTCGAATGGGATGCGGTTGAACGAATGGGTTCAACCATGGGCATCCATGCTGTTAGCGTCATGCTAGAGGCTCTCAATAGAGATGCCCAACATGCTACTATCGCCAAGTTCATTCAAAATGAACTTGACGCTGAACGCGAGAAAGTAGCCTTGCTTCACCAACAAGGTTCTCAACAAGCAGAGTTGTTGAGAGAACAGGGTGCTCAACAGTTTGAACTGTTGAGACAGCAGCAGGCTGCTGCTGGTGGGTCGATGCACTCGCGTCGACCCGAGACCTTGAAGATTGACATCTCCAAGTATAGGGGAGTCGAAGAGGACTCCCTCTTGAGATGGTTCGTCGAATTGGATGACGCCATAAGGGCGCGTCGCATCGACGACGGGGATATGCAAGTTGCATTTGCCAATCAAATCTGGCAGGACGTGCCAAGACTTGGGCACTGGGGCTCAAGTTGCACGACCCATATGCGTTTGGGTCGTTGGAAGTCTTCAAGTCGCGGCTCAGACAAACGTTTGAACCGCCTAGAGCTGAGTTCAGAGCTCGAACCGAACTCTTGAAGCTCAAGCAGGGTAAGCGTGATGTGCACGCTTACGCGCAACATATACGACATCTTACGAGTTGTATAAGTTCCAATCCGGTGGATGAACACACGTTGGTTTCGGTGTTCATGCAGGGTCTTGCGGATGGTCCAGTCAAGACTCACCTGTTCCGGCTTGAACTAGATTCACTAGAACAAGCCATTTCCATTGCGGAGCAGGAAGACTTCAGTCTGAGACAGGCTCACGCCAGCTCGACATCATATCGTCAACCGAGACGATATGACAACGGAGGTCCAGAGCCGATGGAACTCTGTTATGTAGAGAGCGAGAAGGCTCGCTCTACAGGCTACAAGAAGTTGCAGAGATGCAACAGATGTCAAAAGACAGGACACTACGCTTACGAGTGTAGTGACCCTCGTCCAGTGTCTCGCGACACTGGGCGTAGTGACCGTCCACCCATGAGAAAGGGGCAGGGACGAGGGTCCGCTGTTGGTGCGAAGACGCAACAACGGGATGGACCGTCAAAAAACGGACAGGATCAGTAGGTGCGGAGCACCCTACTGTTCCAGCAACGTCAAGAGAATTTGTGGACCTCTTGATGAAGGTTGCTCCCAACACACAAACGTTGTGCGTTGCTGCTCTAGGTAATGAATTCTCACTCATTACCTTGAAACTCGAAGTGACGAATAAGTTGTACCTTCGAGCTCTAGTCGATTGTGGGGCGTCCAACAATTTTGTGCGACACCAATCGCTAGAAGATGGTCACTTCAAGTTCAGTGAATGTGACACACCTCCTACGAGGATGACGGTACGTCTTGCGACAGGCGCATCCGTAACCGTCATGAAGCGTATAGTGAAGATCCACTAAACGCTAGAAGATACCCAATATGATGATGACTTTATCGTATTAAATTTGGATGACAAATTTGATGTCATCCTTGGAATACCGTCGTGGCTCAGAAGGTACGAACCACGGGTAAACTGGCAACATCGAACAGTAACGATGCCTGCCGCTTGTTCATCAGATGGCCATCTGATAAACGTTTTGGAGCGTCCACAAGCGTGTGGATGTACTACGAGTGAGTGCGATGGCCTCACTTGTGGTACGGTCGTTAGTACGACTGCACAAAACCTTAGTGTAACAAACGGTTACACTTCGGAGCAAAGTTCCGGCGGCTGTGAGGAAATACAGGCTGTGCCGAAGGTCCACCACTCGAATAAGTCGAGTGGACTGGGACAAAGATGTATCCCTAGCGGGGAACATCTAGAAGAGAAACGATCGATCGCTCAGGTTAAGCGAAACGATAATCCTAGATCGACTGGAGAGTCTTTCGTAGAGGATCTCGCTGTGGTTGCGCAACCCCAGCTAGAGGAAGTTAAGGGAATAAGTCCCGATATTACAAATACGGCGGAAATAAGTTCCCCGAAGCCCGAGGGAATAAGTCCCCGGGAAGCCGAAGGAATAAGTCCTTCGAGGCCTGAGGGAATAAGTCCCCAGGAAATGACAGAGACATTGAATGTCATAGTCAATAACGGATCAAGCGTAGGCGCTTATACACTTGATCTGATTGCGCCTCCGAAGTTGACTTCGGAGATCACTCAGTTGCCAACGCTCGAACACAAAATGTTCTTGCGTGATCTGCGTAGTGGCAAAGTCAAGCAGATCTGCGCACTCGTCGCTGAAGACGATTGTGTAGCCGACATGAGGTCAGCAACAGTGTTCACTGAGAACGAGAAAGCTCTCAGTAGTTCATCTATGGACGAGAGCGTCCTCGATAAAAAGACACGAGTTGAGCGATATGACTCCTAATCGTGGGAATTGCTTAAGACAAATCCTCTCTATGAAGATTTGGTTGAATACAAGGATGTATTCCCTGAAACTGTTCCGTGCGAATTACCGAAGGATAAAAGTATTCGACACGAGGTCGAGCTTAAACCAGGCTCGAAGTACTGTATCATGAAGCAGTGGCCACTACCTCGTGAACAAGTACTTGCGATCGACAAATTCTTTGCCGATCGTTTAGCTGCGGGCCATGTGAGGGAATCAACTTCCCCACATAGCTCTCCGACCTTCTGTGTGCAAAAAGCAACAGGAGGGTGGCGGATAGTGCATGCATTTAACAAGTTGAATGCTACAACGGTACCGGCTCAGACGCCGATACCAAGGAAGGATGTCATCATTGATGGTATTTCAAAGAGTACCATCTTTTCGTCCATGAATTTGATGGATGGCTTCTATCAAATCCTTTTGCGAGAACGGGATATACTCTATACCGCAGTTAGCACGCCTAGCGGCATGCTCTGGGAATGGCTAGTAATGCCACAAGGGCTTAGTAATGCCCCTGCCACGTTCAACAGATGTGTATCACACCCGTTGAGACCAGTACGAGAATTCGCACCGAGTTATTTCGATGACGTATTCATCCATAGTCGAGCTATGGATGGAAAGTCGGACGTTGAGGTTCACAGGTACCACGTCCGACAAGTTCTTACAATCATGCGAAAGCATCATTGTATGCCAATCTCAAGAAGTGTGTATTTGCAGCAAGCGAAATACCACTTCTTGGGTGCATCGTTGGTAAGAACGGTGTACGTCCTGATCCCGAAAAGATCAAGGCGATCACCGACTGGCCTGTGCCGGTTGATGTCAAAGGTCTTCGAAAATTCCTTGGGCTAGCGGCGTATTTGCATAAGTATTCACGCAATTACGCCGAGATGAATGTGCACCTCTCTCGTTTGTTGAAAAAGAACGAGAGGTGGTTATGGAACGCTGAATGTCAGCGCTCCTTTGATGGCATCAAGCAGATCTTGATACAATCCCCAGTCCTAGCAATTGCCGATCAGGACAGGCCATTTCAGGTGGTCTGTGATGCCAGCGATTTCGCAATCGGCTGTGCATTAATGCAGTACGATCTTGAAGGCGTTGAACGCGTCGTCTGCTATCAGTCGCGTCAGCTGCAACCAGCTGAGCGGAACTATCCAGTGCATGACAAGGAACTCTTTGCGATGAAGTATGCACTCGCGAAGTTCAGAGTCTATCTATTAGGAGATAGACCCTTCATTGTTTACACTGACCATGCGTCGTTACGCACGGCAGTGAACAGCCCGCACCTTTCGCAACGAATGGCGCGGTGGTTGTCATTCTTTGCGGAACACAACTTTACGGTAGAGTACAAACCAGGACGACTTAATGTCGTCGCTGATGCACTCTCACGTCGTCCCGACTTTGAACCAGTCGCGAAACCCAACAGTGAGACAGTCACTGTTGCGGTTATGACGTCCTCAGTACCATCTTCAACGTTACATGATGATGTGAGGCGGGCGTATTCCCAAGATGGTGATATTGTGAAGTTGTTGACACATCTCTCCCTGCAATCTCGAGAATCGTTGAAACGGCTATCGTATGCGTATCGATCTGCATCAGATCGATACACTACTCGCAACGGTTTACTGTATTAAACAGCCGTTACAGGTGACACACCACGCGTTGTCATTCCAGATGATACTGATCTGCGTTTGCGGATCATGTTCGAATATCACGATGCTCCTATAGGAGGACATCGGGACCGGGAGAAAACATATCTCACGGTGAGTCAAGACTTTTACTGGCCCCGCCAGTATCAGTTTGTGCGCAAGTACGTTCGCGCATGCGAAGTCTGTCAACGAGTGAAGTCAAGTCCTTCACTGCGTGCACCTTCACAGCCTCTACCGGTTCCGGCTGAGTGCTGGAAATACATCTCGATGGATTTCGTCTTCGGGTTACCCAAAGACGCACGCGGGAATACGGGTATTCTCGTATTTGTTGACAGATTCAGCAAAATGGTACACCTCGTGGCTGTACCAGAGACAATCACGGCAAGTGGCTGTGCTTGTGTCTTTATTGACACCATCTTCCGACTTCATGGGTTGCCCCGTGAACTCGTATCAGACAGAGATCCACGCTTCACTGCTGATTTCTGGCGTTCCGTGTTCAAATCACTCGGAACGCGCTTGAAGATGTCGACATCTGATCATCCAGAGTCAGATGGTCAGACTGAACGTGCCAACCGTGTCCTTGAAGAGATACTTCGAGGATACGTACACTCCTTTAAGAGTTGGAGTGAGTTTTTGCCCATGGTAGAGTTTGCCATCAACAACTCGGTGCATGCGTCCACGACACATACACCGTTTTACGTGAATGGCTTGCGCCATCCGCGTGTACCCACCTTTCTAGAGTGTGACTCTGGTTTAAGGGGGGGGGGACTCGCGCGAGCAAAAGACAATTTGGTTCACGCTCATCACGCTCTGACGAAGAGGTCATTGCGTTTGATGCCGATATCGATAACATCGATATCGAAGAAGATGATGCCAGTGTGAGTGCGGAAGCCCTCACTGAAGAAAGGATTCATGTTGCTGCAGTGCACTCACAGCGCACTGAAGCTAACGAGTCATCAGATGAGTTCATACTGGCTCGTGAAACGGTAGTCCGTTTTGTGCAAGACTCCATCGCCGAAGCGGTGGACAAGCAAAAGCAAAACGCTGACAAGAATGGAAGGGCAAACACTCTTTTATTTAATAAAGGTGACTTAGTCCTACTGTCTACGGTTAATCTACCAAAGCATGTAGTGACTAACTTGGGTAGCAGTAAACTACTACCCAAGTACATCGGCCCATTTCGTGTATTGCACCGCCTAGGCAATGCATACACGATCGAACTGCCACGTAAGATGCGAACGCATCCCACGTTTTACGTTGGTCGGCTTAAGCCGTACCATCAGTACGCTGCTTCTTCCGATGAAGAACGCCCTTGCGCTCAAGCATCTCGCAGAGAGCCTTGTGCTCCCGATGGTGGGCATCGACAAGGGTCTGGAGAGCATTTATCTCAGCCCGAGACCGCTCAACATCCCCACGAGCTACCCTTAGCTCGTCACGCAGAGACGTCAGAGATCTCTCGTTCTCAAGCTGAGCAAAGGCAAACTCAGCTCGATGCTTCAACGCAGTGTCCGCCATTTGGAGACGCCTATCCCGCTCATGTTCGAGATCGCCGCGTAACCCTTGCGTTGCGCGATCAAAGAAGCTCTCGGGAGCACACGCTTCCCCACGATAGTGTGGAGAGCGTTTTCCCTCCTCCTCCACCTCCATTAGAGTACTCTCGCGGTGGCCAGCGCTATCTAGTTGAGCAGCTGTTGAACCACCGCGACGTGAACGGACGTCGGACGAGTTATCTCGTCCGGTGGCGCGGCTATCCCCCGTCCTGGGATTCTTGGGAGCCCCGCTCCCAACTTATGGTTGACGTACTGGGTTTGGTAGAGCAGTACGACGCGGCACATCCTGTGCCGCAGAAGGACCGCCGGAGAAAGTCTTCCCGGCACGGTCGTAAAGGGATTTCAGGTTGTCAATCCCTTCGTACATCTCAGTAGAGATACGTACGCGCCACCACGGGCTGGTAAGGAGGTAAGCCTCCTTAGGTGCTCGTGCAGAGTTGTTCACACAACACGGGCACGAGTCTCCCCAAGAGAGGCAGGGTACCCTTTCTCCCTTGACAGACGATGCAGCTTATATCGTGCACCTGTCGGGGTTCGCTTTTCAAACTTATCACGAGCTTTGATAAGTTTGTCGTTCCAAGCGTCACGACCTACATCCTCAATGTTATGGATGTAGGCGTTCCACGCCTGAAGCAGTGAGGGACCATCACGCTTGTGATTCCCACTGTACCATCGATGTTTAAAGAAAGCATCGATCAAAAACTCATTCTCAGCGCGATAGTTTTTCGCGCTGGGGTCAAGGTGATGGATCCTTGACGAATCGAACAATCGTGTTCGATAACGATCACTCGTCGTCGCCGACAAGTGATCCATGACTGATTTGGGAGGCATCCATGCCTTCTTCTCAGGAGCGAGACGCAAGACATTGCGGTCCCGCTCTTCCTGCGACGTACCGACAGAAGTACTGGCACCTTGTTGCGAAGTGGTGTCCATAGGAGAACCGACACCACTATTAGCGCCCGAGTCTCGCGACCTCGAGCGCCTTCGCTTCGGCGATGGTTCATCTGATGAATCAGATGAACCAAAGATGCTACGACGCATAGCATCATCCATGCCACGCTTGGTAGGCGGCTTGGATTCGATCGCCGTCGATACGGATCCGTCTTCCGTATCAGGAGAGTATGAGACACCGAGCTCATACTCTGTGAAGACATGAGTGTCTTCATGACGAGCGCCTGCATCACCAGGTGACACAGGCTGAGACGCTTTAGCAACCAATGACAAATCAGTTGCTGCGGTTTCTGCTTCGGCGTCCGCACAGAGACGTGCGGACGCGCTCTCGGCGGCCTTTCTCGCGCATCGCACGGGCTTGTTAACCATGCGATGGATTGTTGGGAAATGGACTCGGACCAACAAGTGCAAACCCCGTCCCAAATGATTTGGGACGAGTATCCATTTAGTCAATCAGTCACTAAAGTGACCGATGGTTAAGGGGGGGGGTGATGTAACGGGGTGAATCGTTACATAACAATTTATAAGAAATTGTTGATAGAATATAACTATAAGAGTTATATTCTCAGAATATTGTCATAAGGACAAATATTCTGTAGCACTTACGAATAGTTCCTAATTGGTTGATATAGGCCATTATATCAACCAACGAAGACGCGCAACGACAGACGCACGCAATGAGTGGTGAGCAGATAGTTGATATGCACATTTGTATTTAGACATAGTTAGATGAAGATAAATAGTGATTTATTGCAGACATTAACTATTATAAATACAGTTCTACTTTTTACTTTAACCAAGTACTCGCTTCTTCTTACCGTCTTCCTCTGCACGTACGAATGTACGTGAAGTTACGAGGCACCGCCTTATTCTATCATCAGAATAAGTAGCTTGTACTGTCACCAGTACAAGCTTCAGGGTGCCCCGTTACACTGGTCTAGTTCCCGGTGGAAGTAAGACCGCAAACTATAATACAAGGCTTAGTATAGGGTCAGTGCAACCTCGTCATCCTGCCAAGCATTTTGTTCTGCACTTTTGGGAGCTTGGAAAGTGCTTGTGGTATCTAGTCCTTCACTGCCGACATACCAACACCCCAAAATTAGCCTTTACCTTGCGTCTAATGTACTCGGCCGAGCCCTGTCACAATTCAAACCGGACGACAATCGCTGACCACCCCGGATCGTCCATCAAAAGCCATAAAGGAAAGCTCATAAGAAAATAATTCGCCTATCTTGGTGTACATTGCCAATCTGTTTGTGGACGCGGTCTTGACCGTATTTCGTTAATACACTACATCCCTTCGTTGTTCATTCCATAACTGTAATGTCCCCTTCGTCAAATCGCGCGGTCACTGTTATTTTTGCACTCGCAAACCAGACGATTAACATTCGTCGCATCGAGATAAGCAGTTGTGTCGTTATATAATCTAGATCATTGTTCGTGTTCTTGCATCACCATGAAACCAATGCTGTCTATCTCGATCACATTTATATTACCGTGACAATGCGTAACAATTGAGGTTTGCTTCATCCACCCAAATGTCGTCATCATTTATACCTCACCTAACTAGAAACTTTCGATACATATTACGTACCGATTTTCTTCGCTCCCTCCTCTCATCTCTGATGCTGCTCACCCTATGAACCCCTTTGGCCTAGTTGCTACACAAGTATCATTTGAAAGTAAGGCTTCATCGAAATCCACTCGCTCGTTTTCGTCTATTTACAGCCGTGCAAGAGGTCGGTCAGAAAATCTTTGTACTATCTATTACTCTAAGATAAGCAAGAGCGGGAACATTTGGTCTTGAGGTTCCTTTCACTCCCAGCCGCACTTCAAGTTCTCGATATTTCTTGATCACCAAAAACGGGGCGTGCCACTTAGGATCCAGCTTTCTATCATACCATTCTTTTACTCGTATCAAATCCAGCCACACTTGACAGCTCAAGCTGATTCTTGTGGCTCTTAATCACCGTTGTGTTGGTCAGCCCGGTCAAAAATAGCTTCCTCCAGCCGGTCATTAACGGATGCAAGGTCACGTTGATACTGTTATTTTATGTGATCGCGCCATTTAATGGACTCATTTTCACGTGTTTTGGTGCATCCCAACGGAAGGGTTACTTCCAGCGATGATCGCGGGTTCCATCCGTTGTACGTCAGAAAGAAGTATCGACCCGGACTCGGCCATGTACCGTACTTTTGGCAAAAGCTAAATGCTCGTCGTGTTCATTTTAGCCCTGTTGGATCACAATCATGCCATTCACCTTGAGCGCCCCGGTCATTGTTTGAACCATCCGGTCGTCAGTGCCATTGGCCTGAGGCTGATACGCCATTGTAGCTTGCACTTTTGACCAGCAACGCGGTTACATGCGCGGAGATCTACGACACAACGTCAGGTTCGCGATCATAAAGAATATCTCGCTCGCTCTAAATCCCTGGCAGACGCTTATTTTTTCTCCTTCGGCGATTATTTGGGCTGTCCTCGACGAGCTAGCCTTAGCGAACACGCAGCCGGAATACAATTTAGCACAAAGAAGCTAATCAGCATTTCCTGCAAATGAGTATGGGATAGAGAAGGTAAATGATCGACTACGATGATCTGGAACGGGTGCATAGATTGCAAAGTCCCCCTTGGTTCTCTTCTAAGCGCAGGGGATTCCTTTCCGCTTCTACATTTCATGCACGCCCTAAATACTGCTGCGCGCTTATTAGGTGAAATCTCCAATAAAAGTGCAATCGCACACGATGACAAACGCGGCCTACCCCTTGATAAACGCCTTCCAGACTTGTTTGATAATAATGTAGTACATACTACTGATCAAGTATTAGGATTACCCAACAAACGAGCTCAGCGCAGTCAACCGGGGTTTTCGCCCATCGTGGACAAAAAAACAATCCGTCTTTGTCTACCACGCAGTCCGGATAGAATCCAAGCACTTGCTTTATATTCTGTAGGACCTAGTTCCATTACATCTCCAACTAGGTAAATTTTGGGTTAGCGAACCAACTATTTTCGTCTTACGCCTTTTTTATACAATCGAGACGCATCTGCTGTATTAAGCCTTCATGTAAGATATTGAATGCGTCACGCCTTCCCATGGTTGATCGCGTAATCGCCGTCACCTTGGTCTCCTGGTAGTTGCCCTCTAGCATCATTGCTCCATCCAGTCGGTTTAAGCTATAGGTTTAAATTAGTTATCACTGCCGCGCCCTTTTGCAGATGCAAATTGGTGCTAGCAAATCGATTCACAATTCGATTACAATTGCGCTTGACGTGTTAGAACTTAGGTGCCGGCAACGATCTAAATTGATCTAGGGCTTTGTACGCGATAATTATAATCCGGATGCTTTGCAAGCAATTCACTCTGCATCTGCCTGATGGCCAGTATGCTATTTTTAAAATTTAGTATTCATTTTAAATGGGTAAGAGTTTGTTTTGTAGCCTACACTGAAGAGGTTACAATAGGCGTAAGAAGCCCACGTGTCGGCGTGTACTGAAATCTTTATGTTAGTTTCAACTCTTAATTGTAAACTTATATGTTTATCCCAAATCAAACTAAATACGAGTTTCCATCAAGTCACGAAAGCCACTTAACTAAAAGTCGCCACTTATTGGATGATAATGGGTCCGTACTCACTTACTACCAGAATATGACTTCTACGCATTGTATCTACTACCTTTGACTACACTTCAAACCTACTTATGTATATTCATACCTCGTAAGGTGTACATAAATGCACACTAAATAGAGAAAACTTTTACAGGTAGTATAACGGGAACACCCCGTACACTCGCCCCCTTGTATGTTTTGCTAGCAGCTCGCAACACAGCAGAAACCTGTGGCTTTATGCCTCGTTCAATGTTAATGTAGTGTCGACGCGCGAAGCAGCCTGCACTATAGTCCACTCGGGCAATTTCCATATCACCGCACCAAAGGCGCCCCCTTCTGTTGTTATTTCGTGCTGAAACGCCCAAGTTGACGATTGGCAGCACTTCGCCGCCGTTGGCGCCGCTGCCAGGGTGAATATGATTATGTCCTCCTTTTTGTTGCATCGACGAATCTTTAGCCATCAATTAGGCAATTAAGCATTCTATCTGCCACGGTGTTTATAGTAAGTCTGATAAGTGCACTAACTATGCCAAGGTAGAGCATCTCGTAAAAATTTTAACATTGAGAGATACTAATACCGCGTAGCAAAAATCCAACATCCGTAGCAAGGCCAGAACTTCCTTTTTTACCGCTTTAAAATTAATACTTATTTGGTTTTTTTGTTTGGCTTGCGTAAAAATTGGGCCAATTCACTTCATCTTGTTCCTGTAGTGCCCAATTTGCTTGCGCAAACCACGATTACTGGTCGACGGTATCGGTAAAAAAAATTAGTACTAAGGCTTGGGCTACTTTAGCTTTCAACACGGTGAACGTAATCATGCCTTCTTATAATGATGAGCGCACGTTCGTTTTCACTGGACTCTTTCACTTTAATTGGAGCCTTAAGATTCGTTGTGACCCATAAATGGTCGTGATCGCCTGCCGATTGTTGCTAGCTGTCATCGTGAACCTGGGTATGGCCGTAATCAAAGCTGGGTGAGCCTTTAATTTTGTGTTGTGCGAAAGTCTAATCTTGCTAAAAATATGCTATCCTTAGTACGCACAAGATCGAGACGTGTATGGTGAAGTACTCAGCAACCCAGATGTATTTTTGGCTTCCCAGGAAGGACAAAACTGGCCAGAGTGTCCAAATTATATCAATATACACGAACAAACCCAGATCCCTTGGGTCAGTTTCGATTCCTCCTGATAAGACTTAGTGATCGAGGAACTTAAAGTATCTTTCCCAGTCGCTCTTAGGTAGACTGATCGACAAATCCCACTGATCACACACTGTCACAAATCTTTCCATCTTCCGATAGAATGACGTCCAGGATATCGCGGGGGTCCATCAAAGTAAGACCTTCGTTCTAAAATTGAAGGGTTCTTGTGCGAATTAGGCTTGCCGCCCAAGAAACATCGACCTGTTGAGATGCTTCATGGTCACTTGATTCGGCCTATTCCCGATCGTAAAATATCCAAAAAAGGCGTTATCTACCATGCGTTAGCATATCCGCGGCGCGTTTTTTAGACCAAATGCCATGCGTAACCATTTAAACAGAATTGAGGTAATATTATAATAGCTATTTTTGTGCTCTTCCCGTCTTCTCCACATTTATAAACCTTGGCCATATTATTTGAATTGTGTTATAGCGCTTTGTCCAGATCCTGCAACATGTCATTGATCTGAAGCATGAGACAAACCATCAGCCTAGTGAATAATCTAATTCTGCGGTGGTCTGTACACAGTCGCATATCCAGAACATTCTTTATCACGATCAT